ATTAATGGGGGGCTTCCTATTGACTTTAGTGTTTTTTTCTTACTGAGTTTTGGTTTAATGGGAAGGTGTTAATTACTTATTTGATACCACAAATATTCTGCAATATTTGGAAAACATCCATTTTCATTTATAGAATAAGAGAATTCCATCACACATGGAATGAAAAGTAGAGGAATCAACCTTTCCTTCCTTAGGAGATAAATCATTCAACAAAACAAATCATGATTATTAATTGATAGATTAATAAAATGTATGTAACCCCTTTTTAATTTTGAATATTGAAATGCATGTAGTCAGTGTGAGATATTTACAGTTCATAGTAATTCAGCAGCTTGAAAACTAATTAAAAAAGAAAATACAGAACCCTGGACAGGCCACTAGATGGGAGTGATCTGCTATGAATAAAGAATGCTATCCCCAAATTTTACAGTTAATTATGAGAGAGTTCAAAGTATTATTAGTCACAAGAAGATTTTAAAGAAAAAAAATTATGAGATCATGAACATAGGCTTAAGTACAAGGGGAAGCTGAAATTAAGCACCCAATTTATAAAGAGGAAGATTGTGAAACTGAGCACAACACAAAAACCCCTAGAAATAAAAACCCCAATGCAAATTTCTGGCTCTATATTTTATCTGTTGCTACTGTCCTGAAGCAAGCTGGGCTCCAGCTTCTTGTAAGTTCCAAATGTTCCTCAGAGGCTGTTGGAGAGATGGAACCCCCATTCCTTAGTGGCCTCCTTCTTTCTTACTCCAACTTTTATAGTACTTCTGGCAAGAGACACACTATCCCCACTGCTAACTTAACACTACAGGTAGTCCTAGCTTAACAACCATTTGTTTAATGATGGTTCAAAGTTACTATGGCCTCAGAAAAAGTGCTTTACAACCTGTACTCACACTTATAATCATTGCAAACTGTCGCACCCCCCTATGGTCACGTGATCGCGATTTGCAACCTTTTTTATGACAGTCGTTAAGCAAATCACTGCAGTCATTAAGTAAATCATGTGGTCCTTAAGCAAATTCCAGCAAAAAATGTCCATTGGAGAAGCTGAATTTGCTTAACAACCACATGACTCACTTAATGACCACGTGATTTGCTTAACAGCTGTTGTAAAAATGTTCATAAAATCGGGTCTGGTCACATGCTGACTTGCTTAACAACTACCTAGCTTAATGACCAATTTTCCAGTCCCTGTCGTGATCATTAAGCAAGAACTACCATTCAGAAGAATTTACTGCTATCATCAGAGCAAAGTTTGAACTCTAAAGAACGATTTCAGGTTTCAGGTTCAGCCATGTATTCTGTGACCACAGTTATATTTAGAAGCAACAGTTACCATCTATTACATTGGGTAATAGTTAAAAGCTTCCAAATCCTCTTCATGCTTATCATGAGGGGGGGCTATTAATACCAGTGTTTTAAGATTTTATATATGCTTACATCACCATAACTTTATTTCTGGGGAAGCTGTAATTGGCTTTTTTGTGATTTACTATTGTAGTGAATATTACAGAAGTTCAGAGGGGAGAGAATTAAAGAGTCCCTAAATTTGATCTGTCAATCAAATCTAACCCGACAATATAAGTAGTAGGCAGAGGGAATAAAACTCTGGGAAAATCAAACAATCCAGCCAATGAGGAGTGGAAAAATTCCCCTCTTAGGTAAGCTTTTAGAAAGAGAAAGGGGCAGCTCCATCTTCTCTTTGTTTAGCCTTTTCTCTCATGGAAGGAGCTGGAGAATTTTCTCCTAGTCTGGTTCCAAGCTAAATAAGCCAAACTCCAAATCCCCAGGAATTTTGGATGGGAAATTCAAGAAAAATACAGCAAATAAATGTAGGGAATAGTGGAATTAGGTGCACATTATAATTGTGGATTGTGTTTGATGAAAATTACTTGAGCTGTGTGGCTTGTCTACTTGCTGTGTGTGCATGTGCAAATATTCCCTTTCTGGAGGAGCAGGTATTGACGTAAACTACAGAAGTCAAACTGCTATTTTTGTTTACTTCCCTTTCTCCCTTTGCCTTTCAATTTCTGTTTAATCCTTTAATCTTGATTAATCTATAATCCTTTAATCTTGATACACATAATAAAGACATGCATTTCTTACAGAATCAACACACTCATTCTAATAGGGAATTTCATTATTCTATCATCCTATCATTCTGATAGGAAGAAATTACATCCCCACCAAAATTGGCAGGGCAAGTTACTGCATATAAACAGGCAGGAAACTCCACACTCACTCGCACTAATGTTACCTAGTTGGGTAATGAAATGTCTGCAAGCAAGCAAACAACCGCGCTCAGAGAATACCAAGAACTGCACAGTTTCATGTTTAAAATGTGATTTTGCCTCCTTGGTTAGCAACAGAGAAAAGCAGGGCAGGAGGTTTACCAGCTTCCTCCTCCCAAGTAAACCAGTGCAAGGACAGATTTCTTCCTTGGAAGAAAGTAGATAGTGCAAAAGCTCTCCCCAGAACTGTGGCAGGGTGCAGGGGGTCTGGATAGAGATTCCAAGAATTCCTTCAAGGGAGCTTATACAAGTCCACCAATCTTGTGTGTGCACTTGTTACAACTGTGGACAAAGAACATTTGCTCTATATAGTGCTTTTTTGCATTCAGTCTTCAGATTTTGTGCAGGCTTAGGAAAGAACAGGCTTTCCCTCTCAATTTTCCTGGAGATTCAGTGGGGCTTACTTTTAAATAGACATAAGATTATACTGTAAATTACCATTGCAGCACCTTGATTGCAGTGCTTAATTAGATGGTTTTTGAAATGCTTGCTTTTTTTTTTTTCCTGAGAAGTGATAGCAACATGTTGACTAAGTAATGATTAATCAAAGGAATAAAAGGACAAGAAATGATAGTCCTGTTATTGGAAAATATCAAGTCTGAGAGAAAAAGCATTTATGTGATCATTTTTTAGTTTAGGCATTTTTCATAACTTGCAATAAAAGACTAAAACTGTTGTAATTACATAAAAAGAATGACAAAGGGAAGAAATTACAGTGATTTCATTTAGAAATAAAGGAGTTTTATACTAAATATTTCTACTTAATAGGAAAAATATTACCTTGATTAAGTTGAATTTTTATAAAATGCAAGAAGAAAGTTCTACCACCAAAAGTAATGAAATGCACATGTCAAGGATGTTTGCCTCATATGTTGAGACATTGTGTTTTTTAAAAAATTAACCTTTGATAAGAATATTTGGCTCTTGTGACATATCATTGTAGCAATTCATTTTTGCAAAAAAGCTTGATGTTTTTTCTTTAATTATGGCAAGCACAGCATGAAATATAAAAAAAATTACCTGCTTTTGAAACCAGTATGTGACATAAACTAGTCCAGAATGGAAAAAAGTGGCATCTCATTCATATATCTTCAGTTATTTTTCTAGCACATATATTTCAGTGCACTTAGGTCATACATTACACATGTTGGATTGCATTGAAGTTCTTCTAAATCAAAGTATCTGTGGATTCAGTAAATGTATATGTTGGGGAGAACTAGCTTGCATACACACATGGTATGCATAATGGTAAGTAACATTATGCAACAGGCATATAAGAAGTAAGCAAAACAAATTAAATGTAGGAGGTAAGAGAAAGGAGAGGAAATATAACTATAGTTCACATCAACACCATTCATTATATCTTTTCATGCTTTACTATCTTCACAAACCACACCTACATTGCCTTTTTAAAAATTTGTTACCTCTGTTGTAGAAGATTTCAACTCCACTGAACCATGACTTTCTCATTCTTCCCCCTACCTACACCTTCTGTATATTCCACTGGGAGATTAATCTCTTTTCTAGTTTATATTTATATGATTTACACTTTTTCTTCCTGTAGCTATTATACTTTCACTCTTGTTTCTTTCTCCCGTTTCCATTTCTTTCATGTTCATTTTACCCAGGATTCACTCTTCACCCTACCAAAAATTTGTCTCATATTCAGAACCTCTGATCACACTCTTTTGTTCACTTATTCTATCATTCATCATAAACAACCAAATTGGTCACCAATTCCATTTGTATGCATGAGTAGACTTTTGCTTGAACCATGTATTTGAAACAAAAAGACCTTTAATTCTCTTTGGATGACAGAAATTTGTATTTTCTGACATATATTTTAGGTCTTTCATTCATAATTCAACTGATACCTTCATTTCCATACATACATTTATCATATCCGCTCCACAAGACCATCTTAACTGAGATCTGTTACATCCTTCCCATTTCACAAGCACACAGTGCACTTGTTTTTCTTTCATTTCATTTGTTAATTCATACCTTATATCATTTACACTCCTTGCCTTCAAAGCTTTCCATATTTTGGAGTTGTCATCAGGTGGGCCCATAGATATTTACCTCTCTTGGCCATCATGGCTATGGTCAATCAAGGCTTTCACATAATGCTTCATAGCAAGAGAAGGAAGAAGTAGACTAGTTTAGCAGCCTTAGTTGTACTGATGCTATGTACAGCATTTGCTGGTAACATTAAGAACAGTTTGGTCACATTTGGCCAATATGCACAACCCAAACCCACTTTTGCCCCAAGCATAGTTACACAGTTCTATGCAATATAGGATTTTTAATATATAGGAAGTACCTTACAAGCCTATATACTGCTGCTCATATCCCTCCAACAAGAAGATACATGCAGTAGACTGCCACACTCAGAAACTATCTTCCAAAAAAGAATAAACAAAGAATGTTGGCATTACTAAACTGCATAGTAATATGAACCTTAAATAAGGGGGAAAGACAATCAATTTACACTTCTTTATTTTTCTGATGTATCTCTTCTGTGTTGTATCAAAATAATTTTTTTCAGGCTTATTCTATCTCAATGAATTTTATATAAGTTATGGTTATGTATTATCAACTGAAGTCAAAAAAAATCTTCCAGTAATGAACATTATATATAGTTAATCAATAAATATGAATATTCATGTGTTTTTTGTTATAAATATTTTTTTCTCCCTGCAGTTGATGGGGTATGTGTATTTAAATGCTTGGTTAATAAAGATACTGAATATTGCCGTGTAGGAAAAGAGTCCATTTTGATAACACTTGGTTACAACAACGCCTTACTACAATTCACATCGCATTCTGGTAAGTGGCTGTGTATTATATATATTTGAAGATTTTTGTTTCCTTTAGTCCTATATTCATTGAAGTCAGCTATAGCCTTCATAGTCAAAGATTCTCAGGTGTTAGATCTGTTGGGCCAATTTGCTACTCACTCATTTGACTGAAGGCTGTAAAATTGGCAGGCACGAGATAATTATTTGCTACAGTGGTCCCATACTTCTGAAATGAGTCACTATTTGAGGTCCATGAGAACCTGTCGTTCCAAGCTTTTAAAAAGCAAGTTGAAGGCTTACCTGTTCCGATTGTCCTACTCTTGTGTTTGTTTAATTTTAGTATTCCTTGGCTATATATGTTTTATCTTTGCTAATGTTTGTGGATTAATTTTTGTTATTTTAATTAGTTTTTTTTAAATCATAGAAATAGCTGGGGAGGTTATTTCTTTAAAGAGGATACAGAAATGTTTTAAATATACAAATAAATGACTAACATTATTATATGGGACTATCTTAGTGAGAACTAAATGTTGCCCTGCATTGCAGTGTCTTTCTGACTTTACTGAAAGTGGTCTAATCTGTGAAATGGAGTTTTGAATGGTTTGTATTTCTTGTAAGGTCATAACAGGCCATTATACCATTGGAAGATTTTTGATGAGATTAGAATGAGCTTGAAGCATTTTTACCTCAAACCATTTTGCACCTCTGGTTTATATCAGTTATATCACACATCACAATTTTTGTAATTTATATACCTTTCTTTTAAAAAATCATGAGCTACTGGAATTATGAATAGTGTTGCTCCATTCTGTTTTATTGAAAAAGATAATAAAAAATAGGCTTGCAACTCTAGAAACTAGCAAATTCTTCCTAAATTCTTGATAATGATGGTAACTTCTTAAATAGTGTGATGGAACTTCCTCTGTCCTTGTATTTGTCTTCTAATATAAACACACAGACACATATAGACACATTTAGATACACACATATGTATGCACACACATATACACACACACCGTGCATAAAAACATAACTCTTTATTTTTCTTAAAAATTCCAACTAGCCAAATTAGTTTTATACATGTTTCCTGCTCCTTTATCTTATAAAATAAAATATATAATAATTTCAGAAATGCTTTTCAGACATCAAGGTATAGCACAGATGAAATTTGAAAACTGTTTTATGAAACTAGAAGGAACTTTGGAAAAAACAAGGTCTGGAACAAAGATATGTAACTTTTACCTAAATCAGTAGCTACCTTTCTCTTGTTACACAGTTTTGTATCTTACCATCTCCTGTTACATTTAATTATTTGTTATTTATAGTTAGGGGGACTCAAAATATGTTGATATTAACTTATGACTAACTTAAGTCATTTACCAAAAAAAAGTTTACAGTCTTCTAATTGTTTATAATGGAATATTTCTGGTGATTTATTTGAAAATTGTGTCATTATGTGCAGCTTTAGACTTACTGTGATTTAAATTTTCCATCTCCTGTTTTTTTTCTCTTTATTTTGACAACTGTTAGTCTGTCCTGAATTCATGCAGAGGATTGTTATATTCCACCATCCGGTTTCCACCATTTAGACAGCAGTAAATCATAGGTAGTATTTTCTGCTTCCTGTGGAACATGTGCGCAACATCTGAATAGCATCAAGCTGGCCATAAAATAGTTTTTTAGTGTGTCTAATATATAAAAGTTAGTCATTTGCAAAGTATAACCATCCATCGAGAACAATTTAAGCAATAAATGTGCAGCCTACCTACTACAAACAGTGTGCCCAATAGCCTAAATGTTCAACAAGCAAACCAATTTCTGTGTTAATACTGGCTTCAGAAATTTTCTGGAAATAAATATAAATGTGCAGATGGGAGCATAATTTTAGTTGGCCTTGGTAGCCAGTTGTTATATTTGGATGCTACTTATTTCAGTCTTCTGAAGAAAGATTTTGAACTAGTCCTGGCATAAAGAGAAGGGAAGATTAGTTTTTCCTGTTGCACCATATTTAAAGACACCAAGAAGCAGTAAGTGCACTTTGTGTTGCTTTCAATAATTCCCCCCAGTTCAGGATTAAGTTCTAGAGACTGACTAGAGTGAATGGTTGGAGAGGGGCACACATTAGTAGGTGGCAGGAAGCACCTCTCCCTTCTTGGTCAAGCCTTAGGACTGCCTTGATGCAACATCTGATTATGGGTTACATAGTACTTCCTGCTGTCAACGCTCACCTTCCCAGAGAAAGAAAATGCCTTGGCTCAGCTTCTCCCCCTGTGCTGCCATCTGATGGCCAGCAAGGAGCTAATAGGTTGTTTAGGATTCAGAGACAATACAGGTAGTCCTCATTTAGCGACTGCCTCATTTAGTAACCATTCACAGTTATGACAATGATGAATAATTAACTGTACGACCAATCCTTGCATTTACGACCTTCACAGGTCTGTAAAGCAAAGGAAAGCTGAAGTAAGATCATAAGCATAATTGCGGTTTCACTTAGCGACTGACCAAGTTGCCAGTCCCAGTTGTGGTCACTAAATGAGGACTACTTGTAGGTTAAACCAGGGTGAAATGCCAAAAAGGATTTTCTCAAATAAATGTTAAGTGTTATAGAGGGGAAAAAAAATCCATGTCTTCCCAGCTTGCCAGGACCTCCAGAAATTGCAGCAGACAGACCCGCTGGAGCCAGCACACCCTAGAACTTTGGGCCTACCCTGAGGTTCAAACTATCTGGGGAATTTTGCCACTTTTCTTTAGATATAGGGAGTATAACACCTGGAGATGGTTTGATGGCACTTTTTATCAGTGACTTAGTCACAAGTTCAGACACTTTACCTTCTGATAGAGATATTTTAAATAAGCCATCATCTCTAGCAGATAATACCTGAGGATGTCTGATGATGTATCTTGTCTATAACTTGGAAATTCAGACAGTTGATCTTTAGTAAGAATATTTTGGTGAGAAACATTGTTTCTAGTTGCAACTATTGTTGCTCCTCCTATTAGCGGGTGTTAGATTAGCAAACTCATGCTGTCCTCTTTATATTAATTGTTACAAGTAGAAATATAATAAAAGGCTCTAAACCAGCCTTGCACAACTGTAGAAGGGAAAGGCCCACATTGATAAATTAAAAATAATCACAAAGGAATACCTGGCATGCCAATCAGGTGTTCAACAGCTAGCAATTTATTTGGACAGACCTGAATATATAATGTAGATTTTGATAATTTGTGGGAGTGGGTTGGTAATTGATATATGAATTATCCTTTTGCAGTGCACAAGGACATCTTGAACCTCTTTCTGAAATCTTTTCTGAATGCTCCATAGGAAAGGAGAAATTAAAATGCATTGGAATAAAAAATCTACAAGAATAGAGGTCTAGATTCTCCAGCTGTTTTCCCATGCAACATTTACCAGTGTTTCTCAAACAGTGGACCAGGAAACACACCCTGGGGTGGGGGGGGGTGTTGCAAGCAGTTTAGAGGATGGTAACAATAACAGCAACAACAACAAAATCTGTCAGATTTGTGCAGGTGAAGTGGGAGCATTGTCAAAATTTACTCTGGACTTTGCTCTCAAAAGGATGGAGTTGTAAAGTTTGAGTACCTGTAATATATAGATTAAAATGTTTATTATTAAAACAAAGTAGCATATATATTTTTCACCAAACCCTAACCCCAAGGAAATCATTGATTTTATTGATGGGGAGGGTACACACATTCATTTATCATTTTAGGGGGGTCACTACTATAATATTGGAGACACCCTAGGTGAATCTTGAAAGCCTGACAGAGTTTCAATTCAGTCTCCTTCCCTCTTACATCAATGATATAGTGTTAGAAAAGGAAACCGGAGTGATCCGTAAACTTCTCCACCATTCACCCTTTGCCATGAGAAGTGGGAATTTTTACTTTTGTTTTAAATTGAATGCAGCTTGTTGTGACATCCAGCCTGAACATCTAAATCTGCATTTGGTCTTAACTACTGTTAGTGGAAAGAAGCCCAGTTTATAAAGCTATGTTGCTTTCAATAATTATAGTTAAAATAATAATACTCTAGGGTTCAGATTTAATGATAAACCTTGGTTAATCAAATAGAAGCAGACATTGCCAGTCATGCTGCCAGCTTCCAAATAGGCTGGGTCAGGAAGCAGAAGAACTACTGGAACTCAAATTTACTGTTATAGGATATAGTAACAGAATCTTGAAAGCCTGACAGAGTTTCAATTCAGTCTCCTTCCCTCTTACATCAAAGTGTCAAGGTGGGGCAATCTTGAATTTCTTCTTTATTCTCCCCATCCAACCAACCACCATCTTTCTGGGCTAAGCTCAGGTTTTTATAACGGTTGCTGCATTCCTTCTTCAGGGCTATCTCCATACTTGTCAGCCCTCTGAGGTAGTCCAGACAAGAAGCACCAATCCTAAGTACCGTATTTTTCCGACTATAAGACGATACTTTTTTCTAAAATCCTTACCCTAAAAA